CAGGTCATCCATAGACAGGTACCGATGCAAGGTTTAGAGAAGATGGAGCTCGTTCAAGACTCATATTTCATTTTGTTTATACTTTAGTGTCTATTATAATTTGACAGAACACACCTGTATTAAAATTATATTATTAATGCAATGGATGATGTTATTGTTTGTTTACTACTTTTCATTGTTGTGATACTGTACATGACGTCCTCCGCCCCAAAACATTTCCGCCGTTCAATGGTTTTGGGGTGTGACATATGGACTGGCTTAGTCTCTTCGGTACCATTATCGACTGCGAGGGTCAGTGGGTGGTGGTTTGAACCCCAAGTGGGGGAGAACTGATTATCTATGGCGAGGGCACCAGATTGGGATCAAGGTTTTGCTCAACTGCCAGGGCTCGACATTATATTCAGCACAGGTGTGCGGGTTATCTAGCATACATGGTGGATACGCAGGTCAGGGATCAGACTTCGGTTTCCAAAGTTCCTGCAACTCAGCGTGTTCTTGTTCTTCATCTGACCCTTCTGCTAGCAATCTTTCCAACCCCACCAAATCTCTTTCCGGATTAAATTCATTATCTTGTAAATTTATCTCTTGTGACTTAGATTGCTCTTGTTTATTAGGCAAGATGCTATCTAACCATTTTCTGAATTTCTTCAAATTATCATCTAAGTCATACTCTTCATCTTCTTGCTCAAATTCGTATACTACTTCCTTAAGAAAAGCATCAAGAGCATCGAGATTTGGAAAATACATAATAACAAATATTAAAATAGAAAACTCGTAACTTTATATGAGATAAATCTCACAAAAAGGATCGATAATACTATCAAATAAAATTAACTATTTAAAACGTTCCCCAACAACGACGCAAAAAAATTGATGTGTGTGAAGCATACAATTTTTAATCCTAAAAAACCCAAATAAAAACAAGCACACACAGGCAGTGTACCTATTGATAGTAGTTTAGTTTAAGCAAGTAGGGTATCGAACACAGGGACCGGTAAACAATTAAAATTAATACTAATATAATCTAAGTAAAACAATTAATTAAAATGGGTTTTTTTTTCTATTTTTGCAAGACTAGAAACTTAAGCAATAACTTGAATACTTTAACAAAAGATAGGTAACAACTATAAGAAAAACAAAAGACAACTAGACTCAATCAGTTTAAAGAGACTTCGTTTTAGATTCGATGCACTTATTCCTATGGTTGATTTCGTGGCAAGTGAAATGGATTAATATGTCAATGGTTACTGATTTCTAATGTGATTAGGTTCATGTTCACCAGTACTAATCTTTTAGCAAACAAGTTAATTCAAACAATGGCCAGTTGATTAAACTAATAGGTTTCCTAGTGTTCAGTTCGAATCAAGCATAACATGTAACATCATCCATTGCATTAATAATATGAGGTTGGTCATCACACATGCTCACACATTTACTTACTTATTTTCTATTTAACCCTACGTTCATGTTCATTAATACTAGGCATACAATCTTGTTTTCACAAAACTATAAGATTCAAGCAATTAAGAAGATGTTCATGCAATTCAATTACTTAGTTATTAATAGAAAATAAGTATCATTAACATGGAAGGATCTTTTAACAAGTTTGACAAGACAAATAACCAAATCTAATTAATCCAAGTCACTCAATCAAACCATATTCATAAGTTTCTCTACTCTAAATAGAAGTATGGAGTTTTTAGCTCATAACTACAGCAAAATAAAATCATAAAAATGAAATTCATCCAAGTACACATAATGTAAACAAGAGAATCAAGTAATTTACTAATGGTTTTTTCCTTTAGATCTCTTCAAATCCATGCTTCTAGTTGAAATTAGAAAACAATAGCTTTCTAAGAACCTCTCTAGCCTCCAAAGGTCGCTTAAAGCCTCCAGCATCAGTTAGAGTTCGAATGAAAAAACAATCCTTAAATAGATTGTGAAAAATAGAGCAACTCATCAAGTTTTATGACCTAACTCAAAGAGTTTTTCACTTAAAACGTGTGTCCGGTAAGTCACAATTTTTTCGGGAATTTTCATCTCAACTCGTCGACTTGTGTTTGCAATCAACATTTTCTCAAAACATGAAAGTCATCCGAAATTGTGTCTAGTTTTCAGAACATTTTAAATCTCATCAATCGGAGTTATGAGTCATCAGATATGGTCAAAAAACTGACGAGGGTTCAAACTTTCCAACAACATACTTCTGTCTTCAAAATCCATGATCCAAGCATCCAATCGCTAAATCGGTTTCCTTTTTTCCCGAGCATGTCTTTATTGCTGAAAATGAAATTTTAAACTAATTAAGCACCTTTTGTTAATTATTTGAGAAAAAAACAACATAAAATATTAAGATAATGCATGAATTTTATAACTAAGTATGCCCATATCAGACTCCCTACATGGTCTTCAATAGAATGTCATGGGCTACCCCCATGGTTATACATCCCCGTGTCATGGGCTCCTCTTACGGTCTTGCCAAGTACCATGGGCTCCTCCCATGGTCTTCACATAAACCCATACATAAATCAAATATCAAAATATTATTCATTTTAATAGTAATAATCTCCTATCAGTTAATGGGCTGGCCTTGGTTCCTTCGACCCATGAGTGTGGTAAGAAGACTCACATCAATACTATATGAAAGCTAACTAGGTCGGAACTCCAATCTCCGCTCTACACAACCCTATAATTGAAACAATTTCTTAAATACAACGCAAAATGCCCCAAAACCTCTTAAAGGTAAAACTTGGTCAAAAACTAAGGTCAAAGGTCAGATTCATCGGTCTGATTTGACCCAACTCGCCGATTTGTCCCTCAACTCATCGAGTTTGTCTAACATCCACACAGATTGGGAAAAATCCCATCAACTCGTCGAGTTCACTAATGAACTCGTCGAGATGGCCAGAAATCCAACCTCTTAATGTATTAAGCTGATTCCATTGAAACCAGGGACTCCAAAACTTAGATCTCTCCCAAAATGATGCCTTGAAGGGTTAATTTCCCAGCTTTACCCTTAAGAATCATCCAATAAGAAGCAAACCCAAACCCTAAGCTCTTTAGAGTAAGTCTTAATCCATATAGCCCTTGAACTCTCCCAACATAGTCCCAAAACATAGATCTAGAGTCCAAAGGTCAGATAATCATGTAAAGTTTCCAACTTTACGTCCATGCAAGCTAGAAATACACTATAGAGCTTAATAAGGACTTAATGATGGAATTATTTCATGAATGGGGCTTGGAACTAATAAAGTTTGCAACTTTCAGCCATGAGAAGTCATGAAGGGGTTAGATCTGACATAATAATCCCCGAAACCTTCAACATCTTGGCTAGCCCAACCAAAATCCCAAAATCATGCTAAAACTTCCATTAAAGAGATGTAGATGATAACAAAACAAGATGTCGACTTTATATCTCAGAAGAACTGCAACAAAGGGAGAGCTTCAGGATCCAAAGCCTTCCTTCCAAACCAAGCACCTTTAATCTTCAAGCTCCTTCCAAGAACACCAAAAACCCACTCTCCAAGTTCACTGCAAGCTCATACACTCAACCTTGAAGGATAAAACACGAAATTAGGGTTTTTTGAACAAAGAGGCTGGTAAAGAGGCCAACCAAGAGAGTTAAGGTCATTAAACAGGGTGTCAAACCCTAAAATTAGGGTTTTCTTCACAGCCACCAACTCGTCAGGTTGGGACATGCCGACTCGCCGAGGTCGGACATTAAAACCCGCGGCCGCAACCCATCTCAACACGACGAGTTGGAGCTCCCCAACTCGTCGAGTTCCAACAATAATTCCAAATATTTAAGAAATGATTTATACCTGAAGCAAGCGCTACAAGTTCTCAATGTTAGTATAATTGAATGTTAATCCAATTTCACTAATGAATCAAATTGCTTACTAAATAGCTACTTTAGGGCATATTGGTCGCTCGAAGTTTTATTTACTTTGTCACTTAAGAAAAACTTTAGGTGAAATTGGTTTTCTGTTTGGCATATGTGGTGGTCATGAGCAATTGTTCATAGTTAAATATTAATCAGTTTCGACGAGGTGTATTATTAATTATGTTATTATTAATATTATTATTATCATAATAATTTTTTTATTTTTTTTATTGTTATTATTTTTAGATTTAAAATTGAATACTCGAAGTTTTTCAAGTTCATTGACAAGATTCCTGTAATTATTTAAAGACCTCTCAGTGTTGGAATATCGCTAGCAAAAAGAAAGAGTAATAAGTGAGTAAAGATAAAGCGGAGAGCACGCAATACATGCATACAAGTACCATGGAATATATCAAACGGATTTTGGTGTTTTGAAACGACATGTCCCACAATTCCTTTATACTTTTAGTTGTTCTATCTTGGTAATTGGTAATTGGTGCTAATTCTCTCCCTCAGTTAGAACCCCCGAGTTTTGTGTTGATTGTTGGGCGTCACGCATAAGTATCATATACCTAACACCATTCACTATGCAAGCAGTGTAAGTAAAGGCATGTGCATGCACACCGATTGAAAGAGCTGATAACTCCTTATTAAACTCTAGAGATTTTTGTTTTTGCATATCATAGACCTTATGAAGGAACCATTTAGGGAATTCGGTTTTTACATCACTTTCAAGATGTAATGATTTGAATTCACTACATTGATGATATATATATATATATATATATATATATATATATATATATATATATATATATATATATATATATATATATATATTAAAAGTGAGAAATTAAAAAAAGACAATGAATTAAAAGATAAGAACACTTGCGCAATATACTTTCTGACTTCCTCACAATTATCAAGCACAAAGTTAACAACTTTCAATCACATAGATTCAATCAATTTTACATACACATTCAATTTAACAGTTTCATTTCATATGAATTTCACACTTTCCAAATTTTAAAGTCAAAATAAATTTCACAGTTTCCAAATTTCAAAGTTTCATAAATTATGAATATCCACTTACAATCAATATTAAGAACTGAAACAGATGAAACTAACCTCTTCTCTCCCGAAAAAACGAAGGTAAATGCGGTGGTGAAGCTGCATTCGTCGGTGTCCCGACTAGAACGAGAAAAAAAACACTTGAAATAGGAATTAATCGAGGGTTTTTATGTGTGTTAACAGAAGAATTGAAAGAGAAATTGGTCTTGAAAACAAACCTCGCCGGAGATACGAACAAGAAATCGAAGTTCTAGTCGGAAATTTGGCGGCAATCGAAGATAATCGGCTGAGGAGGTGGTGGGACTCGGCTTTGGAGGCAAATCGGGGGTGGGAGTCGAGTTTGGAGCTCAATCACCGGTGGAAAAATGTGGTCGTCGTCGGAGATACGACGATCGATCACCGTTTGAGTATTTTCAACAAATGGGAGCAAATGGAGTCTGGGGAAGACGAACTAGAACTAAAAGGGAAGAGACCATTAGCGGCGACAAGGAAGGGGCTATTAGCGGCGACAAGGGGCCATTAGCGGCGACAAGCTGGAGGGAAATCATACGCGCGCTTTCTGGCGATTCCCAACTGTTGGATTGGGAAAGCATCGTAGGGCCAGTATTTGGTCTAAGGTTGGTCAACGGATCGACACCTTTAGCGGCGACGTGTCGCCACTAAAAGCGTCGTCTCTAATTCTTATTCACAGAAACCCTATCCGTTGGATTATTTGCCGAACCAAGGGTGCGGATTGAAAGTAGCGTGTCTCCAACGGATAGCCGGTGGTGATATTTAGCGATGATGCTATTAGCGACGACATCAATGTTTTAGCAGCGACACCAAACGCGTGTACTCTGGTGTCGCCGCTATTAGTCATGTCGTCGCAAAAAGGGATTTCCCTAATACTCCAACTTCTCGTTGTGGTTGCTAGAAAACTGTTTTTATTTTTCCTATGAAGATTTTCAAAGGAAAAAGTGCACGGAAATTCCAACCCAATAGAAAATAGAAAACCTTTATATAGGTGACTTTAGAAGTAGTTTAATCACTAGTTGGCGTTTCAAAGTTGAGGGGAGCCTATCCCTCACTCTCTCTCTTCGTGTGATTGGTCAGACTATTTTTCAAGTTTTTTTTTAATATTTATTAAATTATATATCTATTGAAAATTATAAAACATATATATCAAAATTCACAAATTTTATTTCCCTACAAATTTGGTATAACATTTGTATTGAATATATTTAAAAAAATCAAAACAAAAGGTAGTTAGAGGTAATAAAAGGTGATCATTTCCTATATTGATGAGTGAAAAAGAATAAGGAAAAAACGACATTACACTCAAAAAGTGAAAGATCTTTACATACATACGTTACCGTCTTATATGTTTTTTAAAAAAAGTATAAATTCGCTTGGAAATTTGTTGGGAAATTATCAATCTTTTTTTGGGACAAAAATAGTTCTAATAATAAAAATATTGATATAATTAATATTATTTTTATTATATAAGTATTATTTTTTCTATTAAATCTTATTATACTACTTGTATTAATAGTTTTATTCTTATTGTTTATTATTGTTTATTATTATTAGTATGTTTGTGATTGATTATTATTCTTCATATAGGTATTATACTTATATTTATTATCAACATTAAAACTATTTGTATTATTATCTTTATTATATTTTTGATTGTGTACATGTACGCATGTATATAGCATATATAACTTGATGAAGTAACTATATTTTATGTTTAATAAACTTGTTAAGAAGATTGAACGAAAAAAAAATGGTGTTTAAACCTCAAAATAGCAAAGACTTAATTCCGTTCGTCGGTATCGACGGTGTTCTAACATATTAGTGACATGTATGACGTTGGTTGGGAGTGCATCGCGGCCCTTTTATGAGAAAACCTAGCTGAAAGTATGTGTGTACACCGTTAGAACTTGTGTGTGTATATTATATAGGGAAATCTCCGGAAAAATCTCAATATTTTACCCTAATTTATAAAAAAGTCCAAAACTAAAATTGGTTTCTGAAAAAGTCCCAAAAGCCGGTAAAAATGACGAGTTGGCCCTATTTTATCGATTTACCGGTTTGATTACTTACCCGGAAACATTAAAGTCCCATTATTTTACCATTATTTTCATTAAAGTCCTATTATTTTATAATAATTTGGGACTTATTCGTAAATTATGGTAAAATAATGGGACTTTTTTAAAACCGGTTAAGTAATGAAACCGGTAAACCGGGGAAATAGGGCCAAATCGTCATTTTTACCGGTAATTAGGACTTTTTCATAAACAAATTTTAGTTTGGGACTTTTTCCGTAAATTAGGGTAAAATATTGGGACTTTTCTGGAGATTTCCCTATTATATATGTATTAAATATGTATGTGTATATGTGTTAGGGTTGAACATGGTTCTATTTTGGGGTAAAACTAAACCCAAAGTCCAAACCCAAGCTGGATTTTTTTATTTTAAAAATCTAATCTCAAAGCCACAATTTAGGCTTGATTTTGGTTTTGTTTTGTTTTTCTGTTTTTTTGTTTTCATGTTTTTTTTGTTTTGATTTTGCTCCCCCCCCCCCCCCCCCCCCCTCTCTTAATAATTCTATCAAATGATCTAACGGTCCTTTAAACTGTTATAATTTTACCATATTGATTTATATATCATGTTATAATTATGTCCCTTTTGCTTTTTTCTTGAAACGACAAATTTTATAAACTCGAAAGAAGAACTAGCAAGACGCTAGAACCGGGTCCTCCTTATCTTGTGGCTTTTGAGTTGCTGAAGTTGGTCATGGAATTAAGACTCCAGATCTGGACATATTAAGGTCCCATGAGCCCAAAGATCCAAGCTTTATCAAGCTTTGGGCAATTCTCCATGCATGAGACCCTTTATGTAGCTTGTTTTGGCATTTTGACCCTATATGCCATGTTTAAAAGAGCACGGTTGCAATTAAAAAGCCGGTTCCTTTTAGGTTTCAAATAACACAGTTTCAAATTGATATACCGGGTCACATCAGGAGAAGACATGCATTTTTTTTTCCATTATTTAGTCAAGTTCTTTTGTATGCAACAAGATTCTAATATGCAGCGTTCAATCTTGTTTGAATATATATATATATATATATATATATATATATTGATGGGTTTTATACAAACAATCCTATGTATGCATGCAACCCTAGATACAGATCTATGTTTTCACTATTAGTCATACAACATTATGAATACAAAAGGAAACCTAGGATACTCCTAGTAATTTCGAAATCTATAAAGAAGAATGGAATACATACCTCTTGTTGTTATGTTTTAATAACAACTTGTTTATTGAATCTTCTTGTCTTTGAAAGCAAGTACCACAAGTGTAGTACCTTTAATGGCTCACAAACACCAATAGCAAATGAAGAAGCAAGAGAGAGAGGGGGGAGAGGAGAAATTCGGCTCTAGGAACTCTAGGGATCAAGTGACCGAATTTCCTATGCCAAGGGTCCTTTATATAGGTGTAGGAATTAGGGTTTCAGTCATTATCCTTATCTGGTTACTTGCCCACCAAGTAGCCCATAAGATAATTCCAAAAGCCTTATCATAGACAAATTCTAAGGCCTTATCCATTGAAGTCGTCCACCCTGTCATCTAGGGCTTCCTTGCCTAACTTTGTAACTATCACATAATTACAGTTCAGTCCCCTTAGTTCTATTAACTTCTTTTGATCAAAAATTAATTCTTAATTAATTATTGACCAATGTTAACTAAATAAATATGATTTCTCTTTTAATATATTATTCTTATAATATATTAATAAACCATAATAACCTCTTTCTCTATTATTTCTCCAGTCAAGTTGCTTTGGTGAAGGCAACCTAAAGGGATCATGCACAACCGGGTCAAGTACTTACCAAATATGGTTACGGGCTTAGACACTAATCCAACAGTCTCCAACTTGGATAAGTCTAATAACTATAAATGCAAGTACAATCTGATTAGCAATCGTAGCTCTCAAAGACGGTGTCGAACTCTGATCTTATCCGTAACATGTCCTTTAGATAAGGGATCGTATAATCCTTTGTTCTAGATATCGTGTGGACAATCACATGGAACATAGTCATACTTATCGCCCAACAATTTGTTTCTCGATCTCAGATTCGTTTGACATAGAACTTAATTGAACACATCAATTGAGTCCTAACCGAGCCTGGTACATAAGTCAAACCAAATCATCGAGGGGCCCTGATATTGCTTTTACCCTCTTCGGATAAAAGGAACAGATAAACTTCGACTTATATGCATTTACTACCCACTAATCAAATCATTCATAACAATGCGTTTTATAACATCAAGTTATCGATGTGTTTTCACATTATCAATGAATAACCATTCAGCGAACAATAAACCATATATCTAGGTTTTAAGACCATATGATATTATCGTCTTGCGATCACTCGTGATAAATTCCATGAAGTAATTCCAGCAAGCGTGGGTTTATTCCAATTCTCAAAACTTGTTCATAAGAACTTATGATATTGTAGCAACCTTTTGCTATGTCTAATACACTTTAGACAATCTAAACACCAATTCATGACAGTCTTCATTCATAGCTACTTCCAACATATGAATGACTGTGGACCGTTCGAATAATCTATTATTCAAGAAGTCAAAACATGCAAAATGAAACAATAGATAAATAATTAACATAAGACAGTAACTTTAGTAATAAATAATACCCATTTATTTAATCAGTGAATGTCAATTAGATTTATCTATTACACATTTCCAAACTATCTAATCTAAACTAATATCGTCCTTCAGCCCAATGCTCCTAACGTGCTGTAACTACAAGTGCTTAACCCTACTCAGTCCCTTCGTAAGCGGATCTGCTAGGTTATCCTCCGATGATACCCTCTTTACTACGAGGAGTCCTTCTTCTACCCGATGTCGAATAAAGTGATACTTTATGTCGATATGTCGAGATCTACCATGATCCATTGGTTCCATGGTCCAGGAAACCGCTCCTTCATTATCACAGAAGATTTTCATAGGCTCCTGTATGGCTGGCACAACTCCAAGGTCTCCAATGAAATTCAGCCATATTGCCTCTTTTGACGCTTCGCTTGCTGCAATGTACTCTGATTCACACGTTGAATCAACTACGGTATCTTGCTTGGAAAATTTCTAAGTCACCGCTCCTCCATTAAGGGTAAAGACTCAGCCCGACTGCGAACGGTAGTTTTCCCTGTCGGTTTGAAAACCGGCGTCACTATACCCTCGCACCTTTAAGTCATCAATCCCACTGAGGACTAGAAACCATTCCTTAGTCCTCCGAATGTACTTAACAATATTCTTGACTGTGATCCAATATGCTTTACCAGGGTTCCCTTGATATCTGCTGACCATGCTCAAAGCGAAGGACACATCAGGGCGAGTACAAGTCATAACATACATGATCCAGCCAACTACAAAAGCATAAGGTACTCGACTCATCTCTGCGATCTCAACTTCGATACTCGGACTTTGAGTCTTACTCAACTTGGCATTACTTTGGATTGGTAACTCCCCTTACTTGGAATTCTCCATACTAAAACGTTTTAGTACCTTGTCCAAGTAAGTATTTTGACTATGTCCTATTAGTTTTTTACTCCTGTTTCTCACTATCCTTATTCCTAAATTATAGGCAGCCTCTCTGAGGTCCTTCATAACGAAGCACTTCCCAAGCCAGGACTTTACTTCCTGCAGCATCGGGACGTCGTTTCCTATGAGTAGTATGTCATTGACATACAATACGAGGAAGCTTACTATACTCCCTTTGGCTTTGACATATACACATGATTCATCCTCGCTTCGCAGAAAACCAAACATTTTTTACTTTCTCATCGAAAAAAAGATTCCATCTTCGACACGCTTGCTTAAGTCCATAAATGGACTTCTCAAGTTTACTCACTCTATTGGGATGCTTTCCATTGACAAAACCCTCTGGCTGAGCCATGTAAACATCCTCAACCAACTTCCCATTAAGGAAAGCAGTTTTGACATCCATTTGCCATATTTCATAATCATGAAATGCAGCAATGGCCAACATCACCCTAATAGACTTTATCTTCGCAACTGGTGAGAATGTATCACCATAGTCAACTCCCGGAGGTTGAGTAAATCCCTTCGCAACCAATCACACCTTATAAGTGTGCACATTCTCATCCATGTCGGTCTTCTTCTTGAAGATCCATTTGCACCCGACCATCTTACGACCTAGTACATGATCAACCAAGCTCCAAACACTAACTCTACTAGAACGTCTAAGAGGTAATGATTCATCAATCGGTTCAACCGAAGTTTCCTCCTCGAGTTGAGCACCAGTGTTAGAGATTCATCGCTCGACTCTTGAATCTCTTCAAGATCGATTTGCCTCCATATGTCGACCGATAGAGATCTACAATGAGGGGGATTTGAAGAGCACCAAAAGTTGTATGTCATATGTCTTCAAGTTGTAATTGGGATGGAAGATAATACACAAATTGGAGCAAGCATCCATGGTATTTTATGAAAAAAGACAAGGAACAACGTTGCCCCAAAGGCCACCATCATGGCAGTTGTAAATAGCATCAAGGCGCAAAGACCAACCATCAATCGTCTTCGCAAATGAATAGAAAATCTTTCTTATCAAAACTTCCTGTAACGATCGAGGAGAACATCAGTAATGTTGAGCTTGATGCAAATAGTGAAATTGCATCTGATATTGCAAAGATCGTGAAAGCAATTTTTTTTAAAACATGGGGATGCCTGTTTCTTGATTGCTTCCGCCTGGTACTATAATGGCTGCGGCAAACACGATTTGTGGTAATTAGTGCTATTGCTTTCATCCATTTTTCTGCTTCCTTCACCAAATTTTCATGCTCTCTTCTGAACACCTTATTTGGTGTCTCCTTAAAAGTGTTCTCTTTAGTAGTGCAAGTGGGAAACATGGGATTCTCTAGTTCCTGTAAAATAAATTTAACCCGTTATTTTTGCTATTATATATATATATATATATATATATATATATATATATATATATGTTCAAATGTGGATTGACATCTATTATGCAGACATGTGGACAATGTTATTCTGCGAGAAAGACAAAGAAAATATGTTGTTTGATAATATGAATACATTCAATCTTACAAAACTATTGTAATTATCAAACATTCTCACTAGTTAAAATGTCCATAAGATTATTATAGACTTTTTTTTATTATTATTCTCGTTCTATCACAATGTTGTCAAAATGTTCATTAAGTCGTATTCTGTAAGAATGAAAATGAGTGGAGAACGATGTGTGAGAACTACAATGAATAAGAATTAGTGAGAATGAATGAAAATGACAATAGTTGTGTGAGTTTGAATGCATTTACATTACTAAACAACCTCTATATATATATATATATATATATATATATATATATATATAGAGAGAGAGAGAGAGAGAGAGAAAGAAAGAAAGAAAGAAAGAAAGAAAGAGATACAGAAGTAAGTTCAAATAAAAACAGTAAATAGTGTGATAACGTAAAAACACTATGTTTATATTATTATTCTATAATAAATGTTGTATATGTGTATTGTTGAAGTAATTCTAATATTAATATTAATGTCTTATTATTCATATATTCATTAGAATGTTATTATTTTATTATAAATTTATGTATGTGCATTTTTATAGTAAATTCTAATTTTAGTTATAACTTTTGACTATTCATTTATTCGTTACTGAGTAATGACATAAAATTGTGGATACAAAATTCATTGTAGAATAATAACAAAAAATAGTGTTTTTACGTTCTCACACTACTTACTATTTTTATTTGAGCAATCCCATATATATATATATATATATATATATATATATACACACACACACACACATACACACACACAAAGAGAGAGGGAGAGTTAGGATATATATAACCTATAAGTATTCTGTGAATGTATAACTAAATATGGTCAAATCATTTGGTAAGGGTATTAGAGTAATTTGATTAATTAAATTAAATATCATACAAATTAAATTCCTACAATGCATCATTTTAAGTTTAATCACTTATCATCGGCCTTACTTCCATTACTTCTGACTTTACCAAGAATGCATGACGAACATATTCTTTCAGAATGCAACATATTCTTAAAGAATGAGTCAACAATATATTTTTAAATAACGAATCAACAACATATTCCTGAAGAATGCATCAACATTATATTTTTGAAGAATGAATCAACAACATATTCTTGAAGAATACGTCAACATCCATTTTGGCAAGTTACATTAACCATTTAATCTATATCATTCTCATGAAAATTTCATAACTGCACTTGTAATTTATGTTTTTTCTTTTGTATTTTAATTCATTCATTCATAGGAGAATTTCGATCTGTACGTGTATTTTTGGTCATTCTCATGAGAATGACATTTGAAATTGTAATTTATTTTCGTTCTTTCGATAATGTTAGATTTTACACATATATTTTATGTATTATTCTCTTTCATTATATGATTCTTATGACAATAGTGGTCCATCGATTACAAAACAATCATTTATAAATAAACAATTATGTGAATGGATACTATAAAATAATATGTAAAATAATAATGGATATTAAAATCTCTAGAAAACAATTTTGAATGTGTTGAATGAAGTCATATCTTTAAGAATGAAAGCAAAATATCTGAAAATAACTCCTAAACATATTTGAATGTACAAAATCGTATTCTAAAAAAATCATATTTAATTTAAGTGTTGAATAAAATCAAAGATTTGATTTGATTTTATGTTTATTAAATAATTTGACTTAGTATCCTAAAATGTAAGTCATTTCATTTCTTTCTCTCTCTTAATTAAATGATGTATTTGTCTTTATAATTAATTAGATGTGATTATATAATAGATGTTATTCTATTTTAATATCATGTATGTTAAGATCACAACATTCTATTCATTTAATCTAATAGACAAGATTTGGTCACACATTCATAAAATATTTGTAATTCATATTTTATCTAACCATATATATATATATATATATATATATATATATATATATATATATGTATATATATATATATATATGTATGTATATATTATTTCCCTAGCTACAACAATGGTTAAGAATTCATTTTGGATGTACCTGGCGCCAGTGAAGCTCTCTCTATAGTTGTAATGCTGGCATGTTCTATGTCTGAGTTTCTACAAATGAGGTAATCTTCCAACCAAGTGAAGCATATTGTTCTTAGAAGAATCTTCGATCATTCTGTAAACACTCTGATGCTCCCCAATAGTATAGATAAGGTTGTAGACTTCTTCTGAACGGTATATAATTGCTAACTCTATAACGACATACCCACTCTCATCTTTATATCGAATAGCTTCTGGGGATCTCATTAAAATCTCATCAACAACCTCATAAATATCATGACATGCGGCCTCAAGAATTGGTCTAGTGTAATATATATAGTAAGGATGAGCATAAGAGAATTTCAACTTGTCTATTTCATCACATACCAATTTTAGAACTTCTTTTGCTGCTTTCTGTTCCTTCATTTTCTTCTCGATATGCTCAGGGGCGAAGCAATAATTTTTTTTAGGGTGTTCCTCGTAAATTAGTTGGAAAACACACACACACACATATATATATATATATATAGAGAGAGAGAGAAAGAGAGAGAGAGAGAGAGAGAGTATATTAATTTTGAAGGCTGCGGTGAAAACTAAAATTAGATCCCTCTAAATACATCTTTTTTTATATAAGCAAAATAAATTTAAGGGGGTGAATTGTAACATGAGAAAACTTAAAAAGTAACTAAATTAATTAAAATTAGAAAAATAAAATTTTATAAACATATGAGGGGCAAAATATATAAATTTCTAAAATTGATTTTTTTAAGGAATTAGAAGATAGGTTAAATTGTAAAAATTAAAGTATAAATAAGTGGCTAAAATTATAAGTTGGAGCAATAATTAACAATTGAGATGGAACCTACTATCTTTTGAAGATGGAAAGAACTTTCTATTAGTTGAAGTAAAGAACTTCCATGCCAACATTTGCACAAAATTGTATATTAAAAAAAAAAAAAAAAAAAAAAAAAAAAAAAAAACCCTGAAAATTTGAGGGTGGGCCTTGGACCACCCTGGTTCTCATGTGGCTCCGCCCATGTGCTTAATGGGTGCTACTGAAAGTTGGAAAATAATTGGTTCCAAACAATCATTAAACGTATATTATATACAAGTTAATTATAGTTTAAAAGCAACTGATATAAATTGAGTCATTTACCTACTCTTGTTGCAACAATCCAGAAGAGGAAATAAAACATACATAATGGAAAATAAAGCATCAATATGAGTAGGACAATCATGGAATAAATCCATGAAAGTATGGCTAATGGACCTGCATAAGCAAAAAACTTTCATTTGTGAAATAGGTTATATTTTGTGATGTGAGTTATATGACTAACTCAGGGGTTGTACTAATAGGTTATATATATATATATAATATATATATATATATATATATATATATATATCTTACCTTATAATGTGAAGTATACTAATATTTACTGCTACACAAGTGATTTAATAATGCGAACCATTCTTTATTTTTGAGGCGGTTGATGGTAAAAACCGACTCATTAAATGTATAGAGCATTAAATAATCCACGAACCGTTTTAAAAAAACATCAGATAAATAAATTTCCAAAAGCTTTTGTTAAGGCGGTTAACAACGAATATCATCAAAAAAAGAATTTAGTGCTACTTCATGTAAAAACATCATTAAATAAGGATTTTTTGATGCTGTTTTTATAAACGAGCATCATTAAATCTTTATCTTTTGATGCTATATTTTGAAAAACGCATCAAATGAAGACGCTATGATTTTTTAGTGCTACTTCATGTAAAAGCATCATTAAATAAGGATTTTTTGATGCTCGTTTTAATTAATTAGCATCATTAAATCTTTATCTCTTTCCCTCTAAAATTTTCGTTTTAGCTTTCTAAAAATCCTCCTAGCCGCCATCAAATTCCAAACAAATCGCTTCAGTAAAACCTAAAACCGCCCTAAATCATCTCTTTCCCTCTAAAATTTTTGTTTTAGCTTTCTAATATTTTCATTGCGCACCAGCTCTTCTCCAACTAAAATGTTAAATGACCCGGTTTAGAATAGGAAATCGAGCTTTATGCTCGAATAAATAACCCCGTTCCCTTTTTTACAATCGAGTCCTAAAAAAATAACACCCATTTCAGTAGATTTCCCACTATAGTGGTCGAAATATTCTAATCTCCCCCCAAACCTAAGTTTCTCTCACCTTCAAAAAAAAATTCTAATATCCCTCCGACCTAGGTTTCCCTCCCACTGAAAAATTTTGTGATTGAAATCTAACCAACCCCTCATAAATCTATGGCTTCATCAACGATTCATATTCCTAAACGTTACTGGTTATCTCTATTTCGAATCTGATGAAACCATTAAATCCTCCGCTTCTTCTTCATAAATGAGAATTTACTCTTAAGAATTCATCGTCATCTCTTTTACTTCGACTAAACTTCTCCTTAGTGCAAAACCCTAAATATGTCCATCCTTGTAGCAATAGATTTCAGGGTGCCAAGATTCAGTCTCAAAATGAACGCAATCAAGTATGTCCTACACCTTCTGCATCAACTTCTTCCAACTATAGTATTTTTCCCTAAAAAAGATTATGGAAGGTACGCAATATTGATCACATTAACTATTCAATTAAAGAGCATTATTCAATTTGGTGATTTTTTTCGATTTCATTAAGTATAGTTGAAATAATCATGTTTTGTGTTGTTTTTCTTTTATTTAAACCGGGATTTCTATGACTTTTCAAGGAGGATCGATAGATATAAGAAAAGTGATTCAACATGAAGATTATATTAGAGGATGTGGAGCATGTTTACAATTAGGAAGCAGAAGTAAAGAAGGAAATGATGATGGGAAGAGAGATGCTAGCAATGAAGAGAGGAGGTATTTGATCAGGAAAATTAGTGCATATCTGAGCATGGTTTACTGGAACATCTTGCAAGAAAGAAACATCAAGCCAAAGTGGCATATTTGACAACCGAAAACTCTATCAAATCCATGGAGTCTGCTGAGAACTCATCTGAATATGTTCCAAATGATTCAAAAAAAGATGGATGATATTTTATGTTGCCATTAGTATTGTGTTTTAAAAGGCGGTTATTTTCTAATGTTGTTCAATAACAGCATCAAAAAATAAGTCTATTTTATAAAGCTATATTTTATAAGGCGGTTTTGGACAACATCAAAAAATAAGTCTATTTTATGAAGCTATTTTTATGAGGTGGTTTTGGACATTTTCTAGAGTAGTTGTAGAACCGCCTCAAAAAACAACACTATTTTATGATGCTATATATTTTGAAGCGGTTGAATAACCACATCAAGAAATAAAAAAAAAAACGCTTTATTAAACCTCTTCTGTACTAGTGATTTTAAAAGAGTCTCTGCCTCTCTTGACTATCCTTTCACAAATATCACCCATAACTAAAAGATAAAAAACCATAATAAAAAGTGGATTATATATATATATATATATATATATATATATATATATATATATATATATATATATATATATATATATATATATATATATATATATTACTAACTTACCTGGATATATAAGTGTTTCCCAGTAATCCAGCCCCGTTGAAAAGAGGATTAAAAAACCATAATAAAAGAGGATTACAAAGAGATTATATATATATATATATATATATATATATATATATATATATATATATATATATATATATATATATATATATATATATATATATATATATATATAACAAACTTACCTGGATATATAAGTGTTTCCCAGTAATCCAGCCCCATTGAAAAGTTTTAGCTATTGCCAGAAGTACATTATCATTTTCCACAGCAAACTCTGGAAAAGTTTTGACTAACTCCGCTGCTAAATCTGCAAGCATATTCGAAAAAATGTGAATATTTAAAGCAGTAAATCTTTGGATCATCGTATTTCTATAATATATATTGTGTACGCACCATATTTCTTTGCAGAAACAGCATTAACAAGAAGGTTAATGCCTAATTTTAGACCAGGGATAACAGAATCCTCTAAACGAAGAGTCCTTTTCTGGTCTTTTATAATATCGTACCCAACTTTAAACAAAAAATCAATGGTGTCAAGATGCATATTTTGATAAGCTTTATCCAAATGTGTTTGACTTTTATGGTCTGTGATTTCCAACAAACGTTTGTCATTCTTAATCAAGACCGTTGCTGCTTCTCTGTTTCCAACGATTGCAGCAATGTGCAGGGTTGTGCTTCCATCCAAATTTGCCATTTTTTGTAAGTTTACTTCTTTTATTAACTGTAATATTTCTTTGACTATATTGTTACGACCTAATCCAACCGCTATATGAAGCGTGGTGTTCCCATCACTGTTTTTGCCTCTGTCAATGCACTTTTATCGTGATTTAGTTTGGACACTACTTCACTCCAATTTCCTTTCGCAATAGCTTGACGCAACTCCCTGTTGCAAATGATCTGTTTTGTGTCTGGTTCTTCAGTTAAAATTATGACATTCTCTTCTGATGAATTATCTTCGATTTGTTTCTGCTTCCTGATTCGATTGAGCTGAATCCACTTTTGAAATTTCATTTAAATGGCTATGTGACCATAACGGTTTTTATATATATGGATGGTGATAAATAAACATTTTACACATACAATTGGTAACTAAATGAAAGAAACATGTAGGCATGTTTCTTAGATCGATTAATGTAATGTCTCTCCATAGCATGATAATTTTCTTGAAATGCTTTTTCTGGCTATCATTCCAGTAAATATTGCTGTAAAACAGAAGAAAAGGTCCAATAAATTAACATATGTATATTAACATATAGATATGTATGTACGCATTTTCTGTATGTATATTTATGCAAACGATAACATATATGGTTCCGCCAAAAATGACCTGTTTATAAAAGTATTAGACAAAACTACAAAAATTGTTCATTTTTTCTGCTTTTTAGTTCAAATACGCCCTTTTTTGTTTCATGAGCATTATTGCCTAGTTTGTATGTGGTTTTGGTTGCTCTGAAAATTAAATTGATTATTATATCCTTTTACTTTTATTTTTAACATTTTTAATATTTGTTTTAATAATTTAGTAATTAAAAATTTAAAAGGGGACCTCTCTCTCTCTCTCTCTCTCTCTCTCTCTCTCTCTCATTGATTGTATAGTGCAAACCTATCTATTAATTGAGATTAAGAAGGCTGCCTTGTGCTTTCCCGTCCTTCCTTTGAATTGATGGCATAATCTTGCTTTGACTATACCATCAAGGTCATCCAACACCCATTCATTTTACATTTTTTAAGCTCTACCAATACAATTTGGCTAACGTACTTACAATTTGAGAGCAGATTTGTTTTAATTTTCAGACCCATACACTAGAAAAGCTTTAAGGAAGATTGATGATGGTAAGCGTTTGTTTGTTGAGAGAGAGAGAGAGAGAGAGAGAGAGAGAGAGAGAGAGAGAGAGAGACCTTTTTTATATTTTAGTTTTTAAATTATTAAAGCAAATACAAAAAATGTAAAAATAAAAATAAAAGGGTATAATAGTCATTTTAATTTTCGGAGAGAACAAAAACCAGATACAAACTATACCAGAAAGACCATGAAACCAAAAAAAATCGAGGTTTAACCTCAGAAAAAATGCATACCATAGGAACTATTTTTGCAGTTTTGTCAAAGCATTATATATGTTGAGATTTTCTCACCATGAGACTATAAGAGCCCTTGAGGTGAAAGGAGAGACATCGATATGTATAGAGTTTGTCTAGTCGAACAAATACAATGGACAACAAAAGTTGGGGGTGGCCATTGAATACTAGGTCAACTGTGATGATCTTTTATTGTTAGATAATCTCTATGAACATGCAATGATAATTATTGGATTTGATTAGAAGATATATCAAAAGGTACCAGAAGTTGTCGAGAACTTAGAATGGTTGAATCATACAACAATATCAGTTCCTCCCGGACCTCTTCGGCCGAATCAAGATCAACAACAATGTCAAGGAGCTCTTCCTTAATTGAAGGCAAGATCCAACATTTGACAAGTATATTATATTGTTTCTCAATCTCTGGGCTCAAACCTCTTGGACGAGTAAATTTTGCATCTACAATGCCACACAGAATGTAAGTCTCTGTTGGGGTGCAAAGTTCTTCATTCATGACTTTGTAAATGTTTGACTTTTGTAAAACCCACTTGCATGTGGTGCTTTAGCCTTTAGACCCATTTGGTAGTTAGAGTGAGAGAGAGACATGTAAACACCTCTATAAATAGTGGGTTTGTCCACTTGTAGAGGTGTGCTTGAGAAATGTAGAAGTGAGTGTGTAAGTGTGTGTTAATTATGTAGTCTAGATCTAGATCCTTTTTGTAACACCATATACATTCAATATATCTCTTAAACACCCAAATCACCATGTTCAATTGTGAAAGCTTTAATTCCGCATTCCGAACCATGTTCTTTGTCACTACAATTGGTATCAGAGTGGGTCTTCAAGATCAAGGTGATATTTTAAGAACGATTCTCGGTTTGGCAATTTTTTTGTCACTATTTGATCAATTTTGGTGAGTCTCTCTCTATGATCTCTTAATTTCATTTGAATCGTGCGTTGCGTTTTTGATTTGTGATCGTTTTGTTTCGTTAGATCTAATCCATTTCAAATCCTATTGATGATCCAATAATTTTTCATTGATCAAAGCCCGATCCAATCTTATATTTGTTTGTTCGATTTGATTCTCAATTGAAATTGTTTGTATAAATCAAGATTTTATTCAAAAATTATTTTGATTCATTTTTGGATTTAATATTGATCATATTCGAAGTCAGCCAAAATCAAATTACTGTTCATGTTCTTTGTTAAAAGCCCAATATCAAATATAAAGATTCTTTACTGTTCATGAAAATTATTAAGCCCATACTTTTGATCCAAATTCACTATTGAAACCAAAAGAATCCATTAATCAGACAATTTGTCTATTCCTTATCATAACGCTTCAAATACTTGTACGTTCTATTGAGGTCAAATATAAAAGTCAAAATCAATTGCTAGAGAAATCTGAAAATCAAAATTGGTGTTGATCAACGGATCGAGTTTGGTTTGGTGTCAAAAGCTTGATGTGTTGGGAAGATCTGTCGAACGAAGCATGTGATTTTGAGATCTTATAAAGGTTTTGAAGTTCCGAATGGTGTGCAATTTCGTTTAATCAGGTGGTTCGTCGCTTTTGATTTGAAAAAGAAAGGAAAATGTTTGATAACAAATTCCGGAATTTAAGTGATTCCGAGTGAGTTAATATCTACTGATTGTTAATCGAACGATGGTATCGATGATAGGCTGTTGATAGCAGATAACGAAGGTTTGATTTGGTCAAAGTGATGGAATCAATGTTTGATTGTTCGAAATGGAGGGTTTGTTGATAATCGGAAGTCGTTTGATACTGGGAACGATGGTTTTGAAAATTTGGAGCTTGCTTAAGAGATCTATGGCTGATTTTTAGTGACTGACTTTGATGATAGATTGATGTTGATGAACTGGGACTTGAATGAACGAAGCCTTGGTAGATGATTGATGAATGGAAGAATGAACGGTATTGAGTTGTGAATGAAAAATTGACGAAAAAATGGGTTTGATTTTTACAGTTGACGTTATTTGTTGAAAACGAAGGATTAGAACTTGTTTTTGGAATACTGTGTTGCAAGCAAAGTTCTTTTTGATTTGATTGGAAGGGTGTTTTGAGTTTGAACGAATGATAGAGTTTTTTTTTTTTTTTTTGGAACGAAGGGTGATAGTGTAATCAATGTTCGAAGGGTATAAAGGAAATAGATTTTGGAATCCAGATTCGAAGGGTATTTTTGGTTATTGTGATACGAAGGGAAGAAGAAAACGAAGAATGAAGAACTGGGTTAACATACGAAGGGGTTA